GAGGCGTTGCAGAGACAAGGGTGGAACAAAACCGAGAAATACTGCCTGTTTCTCCGTAACTCGATTTTGATGCTTTGTGTTTCGTGCTTCGCATGTGCGACTCCACTGCCTTAATTCCCATCGTTCCGAGCTTGAATCACTTCTTGCACAAAATCCACTGTGCCTCATGTATGTTCCCTGGTTTTAGGCATGGAGAAAACTTTTGGCTGAAGCCATTTTTCGTTACATTTACACTGCTCATATTACAAAAAGTTAATGTTGCATCTCCCAAATGTCCCAGCCGTAACAACGCTTTTATTGGTTCCGCTTTCGGGACGCAACCAATAATGGCGAGCCATTTTTATTTTTTTTTTATAAATCAATTTTAACGTTTTATTTAGATTACAAAAATAAATCATAATAAAAATAATCCTATTTATGATGTTTTAAAAGTTAAGACCTACGAAAGACTGATTTAAGACATTTTAATACCAATTAAGGCCTTTTAAGGGCCCCCGGGAACCCTGGAAGGAGCAGCCTGTTAAAATCAGATGGAAATCCACTTAGTTTTCTGTGTCTCCTAAATGCAACTTTAAGAAACTTATAAACCATTACTATCTCTTCAGTTAGGTTCTGTTAAGATTAAAAAAGTAAACAATAAAAAGGTTTAGAATAAATATTAACAGAAATCCTTTTTTTAAATGATACAAAATTTAAAAACAATAAGAACTTTAAGTATTTTCAAGGTTTCATTGTCTATATAGAGCTAGGCATACAGCTTGGAATCCTGAGGTTCTGTGTTGGAGCCCCACTCCCACAATCTGCCACTCTGAGTCGCTAAGCAAAACCCTTAACCCCACACTACTCACCTGGCACTGCACGATGGCAGCCCACTGCTGCCAGAGGGGATGGATTAAATGCAGAGGTAAATTTCTCCAATGTGAGATAAATAAAATTAAATTATTATTTATCATTATTATTATTACTTATTATTCTATTTAAGGAAACTGCTAAAAAGTCCTTCTTGTATTTAACTGGTAGACCCTCAGTGACCATTAGTGGCTTTGGATTTATTTTGTCATCTTGCATACACAAGAGTAAACAAAAAGAAATAATAATAATTTCATTTTTTAAGGTGCAGCCTTGATAAGGTAAGCAGCAGTGATAAAAAAAAAACATTGTGATAATAAGTCACTATATCTAGTTATGGAATGTGCATCATTCATGTTTGCTTGGCAGCAGTGATGTCAGAAAGCTAACAAGAAAACATTTGAAATTAGTGTAACTTATGATAATGAAAAAAAAGGACATCACATTGCATAGTCAGTATGAAGTCAATGAAGTATATAAATCATGTAATATAACATATTATACAAATCAATCACAACTCAATTAATGTGTTAATGGAACACAATAATACAGATTTAAAAAAATGATAAATTGATTATTTATATATAATAGACATGTATTGATGGCAATGTTGTCGTAATTACATATTACAAGAATTTCAAGATTTCACATCAAGACAGAATTACGAGTACCTGTCTGTTAATGCTGTAGTATTTTTCTATGATGGCATATACTTTTAAGCTGTGTCTGTGCATTAGCCTTTAAATCTGACAGATCTATAATACAGCTAAATGAATGAACCAGTTTAATAACACCACAGAGCTTCAGCACATATATTTCAGCCCATGAATTTTTCAAATGAGAAATAGAAGCAATAAAAACAAAAACAAAAGCATCATCCACTTAAGAATTACTTCGTTGACATTTCACAGTGAATTACTTTCTATTTACTCTACTTTCTAACGTTAGACACAATGTCGATGGCTAACTCCGAGATAACCACACTAATGTTGTGCTACATACTATACTATAGGATACATTGGTGTTTAAATCGATTTTTTTGGTTAGTACATCAACTGACTGTAAAATTAGCTTTGAAAAGTCTTCCCACAGGTTTAAAATGTCAACAACAGCTTTTCATGAAGTATGCAGATGTTGACCCGATTTTAACCAGTTTTCTTAATCAGTGTGAGGTTTTATTGAGAATTGCACGTTTCAACAGCCAGGCATGCACATACCTCAAGGATTAAAGCAAAAAAAAAACAAAACAAAAAAAACATCCTGAGACTAAACTTATGCATGTGTGTGGGTGTGTGTATTTTCAAGCCATGCCAGGAGGGTGTGGAGGCATGGGATCAGAGATTGCATGAATGATTGAAGACCTAATTTGACTTTTGAAAATCCAATACCAAAAACGGCCAGAAGATGGCAAAAGTGCATCTATATCTAGTGTGAATGAGCGGTCGTGTTCGGTGAAGAAAGCACAAACCCTTATTTTTAAATTGCATATAGGGTCGGTTATTGACGCTGGTGAATCAGCTGTTGCCGTAGCTCCCAGCAAACGTGTAGTGTGCAAAAACTACACATAGTCTAAACTAAACTAAGCCACCATCTAAGGTTTTATTAATGCAAGAGGAAAGACAAACTAACCTTCAGATAACAGCAGAGGCCGTCACCTTTCAGATTACCATCTTTATCCTTGTAGAGTTTCACTTTATACTCTTCAGTGATGGGGTCACGCATCACGATACCGCACTTGGACATCAGCTCAACAAACTCGTCGGAGCTGATATCAGGTGGCAGACCTGAGCAGCATGAAGAAGAAAAAGGGAGGAAGGTTAGAGACATAAAGTGAGACAAAGTAAACAAAGTTAGCTGCTCTTTATTTCAAACTACCAACCAGATACATAGACATTTGTGTTTTTGTCCTCTTCAATATCAAACCATCCTGTCAACACAAGGAATGGGAAAATTATTTCTATTAAAAGCTCTTATAACACTGTTAGGATGCAAACAACATTCCAACAGTTTTGTCTCACTGATAGCCGAAAAACTCTGGTGTTTATACCTGCTTCTGCTTTCCTTTTATCTGCTTTCTGCTTTGCTTCTTTAACAGGAGTCTCCGGCTGCTCTGGGCCAGGTTTCAAAACAGGATCGAATGATTTCTCCTTCTCTGGCGGCTTGCTGTTTGGTTCAGGAGCGGCAGGTTGGGAGCTGCTCTGCGCCGTGTTGTTTGCATCCGGATTTCCTTCCTGAGTGAAGCCGTAGTTTGCCTGGTAGGCTGCGATGAAGTCCTCTGTTATCTAAAGATACATGGCAGGCCCACTTAGCATTAAGAAAGAAACCAGATGTAAAACATTTCTTTAAACCTTCTACGATTAACAAAAAGATGTGACCATATACTGCTTTTAGATTTGGAATCACTTATCTGATATCAGTTTCTAAAGGATTGCAATAAAAATCTGTGGTTAAATCAAAGTATTTTCATATTGTGATTAGTTTCAGTTATAAACTCTTGTATAAATATGAGCATCTCAAGGAGACTGAATGGATTAGCTCTCATACCAGCCTAAACAAATTGGGCTCATATCGCATTAAACTTTTAGGAGACTGAAATAGTACTCTCTATACTGAAAAAAAGCAATAAAAATTACTTATATTAAAGACTAAAACAGTCAAACACATAGACATTTTTAATTCCCAACACAATATTTGGAAATAAAGATTTAAAAAAATCAGGCAGTACTTTAGGAAACCAGGCTTTTTTTTCATGGTCCCAGTCATACACAGTCCCATCCACTGGGTCAGTGTATGTGTATGGATCTGTGCCGTCGTCTTTCCTCTGCCCATAGAGCTGCTGCATTCGCAGCTGCTCCATAAACTCCTTATTGGCATCTGACTCGCCGCTCATCTGAAACAAGAAAGGGAAATGTTTGATTTAAATGGACAAAATGGTAAATTAATGTTACTGAGAGATTAATACGAAAGAAAATTTATACACTTTCTTTCACATCTGTCTAGGTGGAGATGATTAGAATAAAATATGTAGGGCTGCAACTAATTATTATTTTGCAAATTGATTAATCTGTTGATTATTTTTTGATTAATCGATTAATAAACAGGTAGACAAAGATTCTTTATAGATTTTTTACGACATTAAATAAGGTAAAACTAAAATTTTTCCACTTAAGGAGTAGATAGAGCAAATTGGCATACAAAATTTTTTTTTATCTTAAATGCTAAATGTTTTTATACATTTTTTTTACAATCTCGTTATAGTTACTGCTCTAAGTGGGATATTTTACAAATTCTATGGTCAATTTAACGATTAATTGATAAATGAAATAAATCGTCAATTTATTAGTTGACGTTTTTTCTAATATTTGATTAATTTGATTGTTTCAGGGAAGAAAATACCATTTTTTTATAAACTAGGTGAGAAAATATGAAATTAAGCCTCTCCCGGTTAAGCAAAACAGACATTTACACACAAACTGAAGATCCGTCAGCTACTATAACGTAACTTAATTAAATTAGGCCTCATACAAAAAATATCTATATTAAAGGCCAAACTATCCCTTTCCAATAAGGTAAATTACTATAAATTAATCGATATTTGGATTTTTCACCCACTTGTTTAAGATCAATGAGAGAAAACACAAATCAGATTAGCCGAAATTGCTAACGTTACCTTTAAAAACAAATGGCCAGGCACTCTTCACTACGGTTGTTGCCAAAAAGAAGATATTCTTCCCCTCCGTCACTGATACAACTCAGTGTTTGCTCTGCTGTAAGGACTAGTAGTGTTTATGAAACGTTTTACTGCCAAACTTGCAGTATTTTTACTCCCCGTATTCGTTGGTGCTCATTGCGCGACGACGCTTGAATGAAACGTTTCCGGGGTCAGATTCGTAATGCGCATGCGCACAAAAAATTAAGACGTTCGATTTATACTCTTGTATCTACCTATCGGTACAAGCTGCAAACTGCTACCAAAGAGGTAAAATGGCTCCACCCACCAACGGTTCATCCCGAGATATTAGTCGAGCGCCCACTTTGCTGGACGCCAGGCGCTGACAGGAACAGTTCAGCTAGCTTGTTAACAGGTAAATAACAGTCGGGTCAGTAATGGCGGAGAACAGCGGTAACATGAACATTAACCCGGCCAACCTTCCACCGGGAGACCCGCAGCTTATCGCCATGATTGTGGAGCATTTAAAGAACCGAGGGCTTTTCGATGAATTCCGCAGGGACTGTTTAGCTGATGTCGACACGAAGGTACTCTGCTTTTCCTCTCTAGACAGCTGCTTTGTTAGAACGGTAGTGCGTCAAAAACACGAACCCAGTTTGATAATAACATCGTTTTCGTTTAGCCCTTTTTTCGTTGTTTTTTTTGTTTGTTTTTTTTTTTGCCAATTCTGACGCACCTTTGTTACCTTTTCCAGCCCGCCTACCAGAACCTGCGGCAAAAAGTTGACAACTTTGTGTCTTCGCACCTCAGTACGCAGGACTGGAACCCGTCCATCAACAAGAACCAGATGAGGAACGGACTCAGACAAAGTGTTGTTCAGTGAGTTTTACAGAACAATCCCCTCATGCATCTCATCATCAACTATCTGCAAATATTAAGCCTTCCTGCAAAATTATTGTTTAATTACTCAATAATTAGACAAAACGCTTAAAAATGTATCTCTCCTTTCTGCCACCGATTCTCCAGCCTTTAAAAATTATGCACTGTAGTTTTATTGTTGGAAAAACACATTGAGAACTTTATTGTTGAGTTCTTAAGGGATATAAACCTATTGCAAACTCCTTTAACCTAAATAAAGTTGTTTTTTATGTTTCAGGGTATTGCTTTTTTTTTTTTTTTTACAGTGCATCTTCTTCTCATATTAAAGTTCTGACTTCTAGACTTTTTCCAAATTCTCTTTAGCTACAGTTAGAAACAAGAAAACACAGTTGTTGTAGTTGTTCTGTTACTAGTAGAAGGGGAAATGCACCAGTCTTAATTAATAACAATTGTATCAAAATAGAACAAAGCACCAAAACAGAATCAATTCAGGAAGGAAGCCAAATTAATACATTTCTTGTATTTTTTTTTTCCTCTTGCAAAAATAGAGTTATCACAGAAACTTTAGGTTTAATCTGAAAGGTAAAGCTTACCTAACGATTGCTGTGATTGGCCTAATAATGGGCATGCAGACTTTCAGTCAAATGGCTCCTGAAAATGAAGCAAATATTACATCAAAGCTTTTCTTTACAGCTGCAGCATCACAAACATCAGTGGCGGCCACGGTGAAGTCAGTGGTTTTTTGTTTTGTTTGTTTTTTCCATTGGGGCACCAAGCAAAAGAAGGAAACAAAAAACTGTTTATTATTTGAAATAGATAGAGAAAGTTCAGAAGGTATGAGCGGCATACAGCCTGCTGCGGCTTATATGTTTCCAGTTTTTTTAAAAAGCTTTGAGGGTTCGGCTTATAGTGAGGTGCGCTCTATAGTCTGGAAAATATGGTTATTTGGATTATTAATTTCAAAGATATTAGCAGCAGAATCCAAAAGTGGGTCATGCTTAAAGGCTTTGTAGTTACAGACAGTTTTAGCTTAATGGTAGAGTGGATATCTGATTTTAAATGTCTAATTTAAAAAGCTTTTTTGTATTAGATAAATGTTAGTTATTTGTTGTTGTTGTTTTTTTAATACAGGAAAACAGCTGTTTTTTGTTTTTGTTATACGCTTTAAAGGTCCTAAAAAGTTGTATTAGTTTTTTGAATACAAAAATAGCTAAACATGAAAAAGACAGAAAAGTGCTCTGAATGGGTGGAAGGATAGGTGTGGTCAAGCTCGGACCGGGAACGATATTCGGCCCTGGCGATTTTCTATCTAAACGGGCCCACATATGGACCCCCACCCCACGGGAAAAAAAATTGAAGTACAGTAGACCGCTCTTGTCTCAAATGTGACTAAAATGAAAATATAATTGTAGCATCCGTATTCCCATGGACCAGCGCCACTCACTACTTCAGCAGAGTTGCCAGATGTCACTAAATCACGTTTTCCAGCCCAAAAAATTTTCATAAACCGCCTGGATAATCGAAATATCGCCCAATTTGAAACAAAACAAAAGTCTATTGATCTCTTAGGCCATAAATCTAAAGAAAAACATTTTTTTCCCATAGACGGCCATCCTAAACTACCAGATTGAGAAACATCCCAACCTGGCAACAATGCACGCAAGATAGGAAACGTTAGCCTTTAGATGCCAAACCCCATCATGCACTGCAACATATTTTTGCAAAATATTTGAACATAAATTCACCAAATATAAGATGAACATTGTAGTTTGGTTTAAATAAAGCATTTTAGTTTTATTAAAATTTAGTTTAGTTGCAAAGATTTTACAGTTTGAAGAAATGGAAAATGACACCATATGCCAACCGTCAATAGGATGTGCATGACAAGGAAGGGCTATATATACTGCATGCATCACTTAGGTAACTGACATTTCTTGAGTTCCTTGAGTTATTTACTGTCTCATTTAGGAGCTTCGGCCGGAGAGTAAGTGATGGAGCAGGTATGATTTAGGAGGGTCGGCCCTCGCACGCTGACGTTTGGACCAGCCCACCGGGCAAATGCCCGGTATCACAGATTACCAGTCCGAGCCTGGGTGTGGTTTTGATCCCAGACTGACAGGGCATGTCCAAAGGATTTTAGTAGATTGTATCAAGAAAATGTACAAAGTGCAGCAGATTTCAAAAGATGTCTGACTAAATCCTACTGATTTCTCTCAGATCAGGAATGCTGGAGTCTGGTGTGGACAGGATTATTACTCAGGTCGTGGACCCCAAGATGAACCACACCTTCAGGCCTCAAATAGAGACTGCTGTTCATGAATTTCTCTCCTTGGATGGGAAAGAGGAGAACACCTCAAGTCTGAACTCTGCATCATCTGAGCAAACAGAACCACAGGAGCCCCCCGGTGTCTCTGGCCCCAAAACCCCCTGAGGGGATCATCATGGCTGATTTAAAATAAACAGAAGGCATCAGCTTAGCGATGTGGTCAAGAGATCTATCTCTCAGCTGAAGATGTTCATACTGGACAATGTTGGCTTGTGAATGTGAATCTGCACTGAAAGCTGCAGCATGGAAGCATTGACAAATGAATAGATTTATTCATGGCACTGAGCTACAACTCAAAAAGGCTGCAGAATAGAAGTGCTTCAGCTTTGCCTTTTGGATGTTCTGTTTTTTTTTTCCTATAGTACAAGCTCTGTTTCTGTGGAATTGCTCAAACCTTTTGACTTTTTTGTATATATTTTCATTACAGATCTCAGCAACTTGGACTGTTTGAGTGTTGAGACATTTTCTACTTATTTGGAAAAAAAACATTTTTCTTTTTGGATGATAAAAATAAAGAGATCTTAAGCAGCTGTCTAAAAGTTGTACATAAAATGAACGCCTGAATCAACTTATTTTGTAAGTCCAGATGGGCTTTTTTTCTCTCTCTCCTTTCAGTGCCTCATGTTTCCCTTTGCTGCCTGTTTTTAGTTTGCAGTATTGATAAACAGCATTGTAGAACAAGTTTCTGGTGATGTGCCTTTTTTCTGTTCCACTGTAATGCAACGCCTGCCTGTTTAAAAAAAAAAAAAAAAAAGGTTTTAAGATAAGAAACCAGGCCTCTCTTCTATCTGGCTGTACTCCTCAACAACTGGAACAACACAAGCAACAAACAGGTCAATGGAAAATCACGCCGTTATTTTGTCTGACAAATATTAACTGTTCTGGCTCATCAGCATCCAGAATCAACAACACTAGGTGGCAGAGTTGCACCTTTTTTATATATTTATGGATTTTTTTACTGCAAGGTAAATCTTTACTACTGGAAATGATATAGTGACATATGGGGCTGCAGCTGTTGATTCTTTTAATAAATTATGTATTGCAATGAAGATTTGCAATGTCAAAAAAGGCTTTTGTTGCTATTATAAATGAATTGTAAATGGAAAAAGCCTAGCAAATATACAGACATAAATGTGTGTTAAATAGACTTTTAATGTTGTTTATATTTGTACAGGTTTTTGGTTATTCTATCAACAAATTACTCTAGGTAACCATTTGTTTCAATTTCGCAATTAATAATTGATTAATGACCGTCTGATTAATGGTTTCAGCCCTAGTGATGTCTTTTTTTTTTTGTAAAATGCAGTTCTCAGTTGCTTCAACCATTCATATTTTCAGCAAACTGTCAGATAAACAGAATAGAACGGACGTGAAATTGGATCCAAAATGGAGACGAAGGAGGATGAGGCCGTTCTCAGCAACTACAAAGACGCCCAAGAAATATGGTAGACTATATGTTTTTAGTTGCCAGGCTTTTTGAATTTAAATAAGGAAAAAAATATTTAGAAAGAAAACTAAAACTAAAAATGATTCATTAAAGAAAAGAAGTCATTACCTTATATGAAGACATGAAGATTTTCTTGATTCTGATTAAAGAAGGTTTGTTAGATCTTTACACAGTGTTAATACGTTTGTTTTACATTGTAAAAGAAATTAACCATCTTAAAGGGAAATGTTTTCTGTCTTTTAGGTAGAATACTTGCTTTTTACAATTTAACTGAAGCACAAACCCTGACTGCCACTGGCTGCCTTGATTGGATTATATGTTCCCTCAGGGATCAGTTTTTAAATTAACTTTTTCCTTACAGTGGAGCAAAATATTTAGTCAGCCACTGACTACTCAAGTTCTACTTAAAAAGATAAGAGGTTTGTCATTTTCATTGATACACTTCAACTACAGGAGATAAAATAAAATATCCAATAAATCCTATTTGAATCTTTAAAGAATTTATCTGTAAATCATGGAGGAAAATAAGGATTTGGTCAATAAAAGTTTTGCGAAATGTTTTATAGAACCGCCTTTGTTTTAAAGACAGAGGTCTAACATTTGGTGCTAGTCTTCACCAGGTTTGCTCACACTGTAGCTGGTTTTATGGAGATCTAGATCATGCAGATTTCCACTATAGCAGTGATGGTGCTGCTCCTTCATTGTGTATCGGTGTATTTGGGAACATTGTCCTGCTGGAAGACCCAGCCAGGTTACATCTTCAGTGCTCTGAAAGAGGAATCCATAGATACATGGATTCATTCATCCCATAACAGGGATCAGTCTTCCTCTCTCAAACAGACCCAAAGCATCATGTCTCCACCTTCATGCTTCACAGTAGGTATGGGGCTCTTTGGATGCAACTCAGCATCTTCTTTCTCTTTCAGTTATTCCAAAAAGTTCTACTTTGTTTTCCTTTGACAACACAATATTCTCCCAGTCATCTTCTGGATCATCCCTATGCTCTCAGCGTAGAGTGTTACTGATGGTAACCTTTGTTTCTTGGGTCCCAGATCTCTGCAGCCCATTTATCATGTCCCTCCCTGTAATTCTGAAATTCTTTCTCATTGTTCTCGTGATAATTTTCACCCAGTAGCATGAGATCTGGCATGGGGCCCCAAATCAAGAGAGATTATCAATGGCCTAAGATGCCTTGCTCCCAAAGTTGATTTTTTTTTTCAAGCCAACCTGCTTGCCTACTCTAGATTTATTCTTCCCAGCATAGTGCAGATCTATAATTTCCTTTACAGCGTCTCTACATATCTTTGCCATTATTGAGTTTGTAGTCTGAGTGTTTGAGGCTGTGGACAGGTGTTTTTATACAATTAAATTAAACAGGTAACCAGTGGAGAATAGAGGAACTTCTTAAAAAAGTAGTAAGAGGCCTGGGAAGGCCAGATGTCTTGCTTGTTTGTAGGTGACCACTTTTTACAACATAATTTATAAATAAAATCTTTAAAAATCCTACAATGTGACTTCCTTGATTATAGTTCTGCACCTGTGTTAAAAATCCCAGACATCTCTATCCTTTCAAAGTAAGGAAACCTGTACAATAAGTGGCTGATTAACTATTTTTTGCCCCATTGTGGCTTTGTTTCATTGAAGTTTAACTTGAGTTTTAAATGTATTAGTGCGTTTAAAGTTTATTTCACTATTTCTGTCTCATGAAGTTGCTAAAAAAATAAATAAAATATAAAAACCACCATGACATACTTTTGTATCTAAAAAAAAAATGTTAAAAACCCCATCGGCAAAAAATTCTAAGTGGTTTAATTCTAACATAATCTAGAGGAAAAGTATTTACAATATATGTTTTTCGATATTCTTCCTTAACTAAAAACAAAGGAGCATCTTAACGCAGTTCTTCCTCTTTAGATTGATGACTACAAACCTTGTGATACATGTGTCTGTCTAGTGTTTGTATAAACATACAGAGATTTGCTTCTCATGTTAGTATGTGGGAGGACAAGAAGACCAAACATGTTCCCTGTTTGCAGAGTGTTACTGCATTACTATACATCTTAACTGTGTGTGTATGTGTGTTCCTGTCTAGCCCTCAGAGTGAGGACCATTTTCCCAATTGATGTTTCAAAGTGAGGACATTTTGCTGGTTCTTACAAACTATTTTGCTAATGGTTAGGTTTAGGGCTAAGGTTAGGGTTAGAGTGAAGTATGCATTGGTAATGGCTAGGGTTAGTTTTAGGGTTAGGCCATAGGAAGGGTTGAAAATTACTGAAAATCAATGGGAGTCAATGGGAGTCAACACATGGTCCTCACTATATATATCATAGAACGAGTATGTGTGTGTGTGTGTGTGTGTGTGTTGGGGTGGGTGTTCAGCTAAAGGTCATTGCAAGTTTGTTTGCATGAAGCTGTGGGATGTTGTTTTGAAGAACTAAGATAGAACAAGCAAAAAACTATTTTCACCCTAACTTGGCCCCTGAATGACCACAGATATAAACACACACACCCCCCCCCTACCTTGACCTCTCAATGCAACACAAAGGTCCCAACATACACACATATGTTTGTCCTTGGACTAAATGACTGAAGATGATGGAGCAGAAGAGTAAGATAAGGTATTTGTTTGGCTTTCATTGCTGATATGAGTTGGTGATATGTCCTTTATCTGTAAGTCAAACATCAGAGTTCATGGCTGAGAGACGAATGACAAAAAACAAAAACACAAAATTACAAAAAGATACATTAACTTTTTTTTTTCCTTTTTTTTTTTAATATATGTTTATTAAGATTTCAAAGTGCAACATACAAAAACTACACACCCGAGTGTAAAGCATACATATATTTAAAAAATTATGGTCTTAGAAGAAAAAAAAACTCTTACCAATACAACAATAGTAATAATACAAAACTAACAAAAAAGCCTTCAATAACAGAGTGAAAGAGAAGAGAGAAAGACAGGAAGAGAAAAAAAAATTATTAATTAATTTAAAAAAAATGAAAACAAGCCAGACAAGACAATCTAAATAACGGTTGCACTGCGCTGATTACCATTTATGCTTTAGGATAGTACTATATATCTATGAAGGCGCAGGTGGCATACGGCTGTTATGATCAGTCTTAGAGTGAGAAATATGGTCCTAAACCAACTGCCAGATACTACAGAACTTATAAGTGGAGCCATTAACGTCATACCGCAGTTTTTCCAAATGAAAAATCTCAGTAAAATCGCTTATCCACATTTTAAACCGAGGAACCTTGACAGTTTTCCACAATCTTAATATTTTCTTTCAACTTTCTTTGCGATTACAATTCCATAATCCACAGTCATTTGCATAGAAATGCTGCAGTTCCTCAGTGAGGGAGATTGTCCAAACAATGCAATCTGAGGGTTCGGAATCAAGGTGCACTTATACACTTTTTGAAAATGTCGCACCAATAATGAAAGAGCTTGAGGCATGACCAGAACAGAAGAGTCAAGGAGCCATCGGCAGATTTACATCTATCACATTTTGGAGATATTGATGGGAATATTCTATGCAATTTTGTTTTTGAATAGTGGAGTCTGTGAAACACCTTGAACTGAATTAACTGGTGCTTTACATCAATAGAGCATGACCAAATCCCAAGACCCTCCTCCCAGACCTAACTACCA